AGATATATTAACATTTCCTCTCATCAGGACCTCCCGGCGGCTGCAGGTGGAGGGGCAGAAGATGGGTTCTTTGTGCCTCCAACCAAAGGCATGAGTCCCACACAGATGTGGTGCAACAACTCACAGCTGCCCGTGGACCACATCCTGGCCGGTTCCTACGAGACCGCCATGAGGGTAAGGACGGGAAATGTATAGTTCCCAGTATTTTTACTTGAAATGGTTACTGGCTGAATGCTAGGCTGCAAGCTTAATCATATTGCAAAAAAAGCAAATCTAGCAACCATACCTATAAGAAAAGGAACATTGCAAATAGTTTTAATTAAATCTAACTGATCTCCTCTGTTCTCAGTTGCTGCACGACCAGGTGGGTGTGGTGAACTTCGGTCCATATAAGACCCTCTTCATGCAGACTTTATCCAGAGGACGCACCTGTTTCCTGGGACTGCCCTCTCTGCCCTGTCTGCGCAGCCACCCCCAGAGAAACTGGAAGGTACTGCACTCATGGATTACCTTTTATGTCATAATTTCATGGCTTTGAACACCACCACTGACTGCTGATTTAGTCTTAATAGTTTGCAAAAATGTTTTATTTCTCTGTAGGATTTCCTTATGTATGAGCATTACAGCATGTTTGGGTCTGTAGTAACATGTTTTACAGCATGTTGCTACAGACCCATATTCAAATCTCTCCACTATGAGATAGAGTAAAAACCTCTCTCCTTCCTCTGTATTTCCAGGACTGTGGAGCGAAGCAGGGCCTCCCCGCTGTGGGCCTGCGTCTGGCCGACCTCATCTCTCGTCTGCAGCAGTGCTATCAGCTCACCACCGCGGGACGCTTTGAGGAGGCCGTGGAGAAGTTCAGAGCCATCCTCCTGTCTGTGCCTCTGCTCGTGGTCGACAACAAACAGGAAATCACTGAGGTACGCAACAATCAATACGACAATACACTAAAGTAATAATGGATTATATTTAGGTTTTACAGGATTTTAAATTTCAACATCCTTAATTCATATAAGCTACTTTGTTGGCTGCACTTTCAAAGACATGGCTGAAATTTTCTGCCTACCAACAATTTCAAAACACTCAAATACACAGTACAGGCAATTGGGTAAAGCGTATTTTCCAAGGACCCAACAGTTAGGCCTGTTATGATATTTACTATATCAATAAATGAAAGCTGTGACAATATCTTTTGGTGCTCAATATTTTGTGTACATTTGTAGTAGTGCTGTAGCGGGAAGATTTTTGCCTTGTTTTTCCAACAATACAATAGGATTTTAGCTGTAGAGGATTGAATAAGTATTTTCTATGGGTAATTAGCAGTTAATTTTATTTATAATATCAAAAATAAGTTTTTCTATGTAATTGTGTGTTCATACTTTTGATTTTTGCTTTTGTTAAAGGCTCAGCAGCTGATAACCATCTGCAGAGAGTACATCGTAGGTCTCACCATGGAAACAGAGAGGAAGAAGTTACCTAAAGATACTCTGGACCAACAGAAACGACTTTGTGAGGTGAGGACCCGAGCTTTTATTTTGTTTTTTTATTTTTTATTTTTTTTCATAGTCTCCTGTTCATGGGAAAGACTGCACTTCTGTTATGTTTTATATATTGACTTATTATTTGACTCAAGATATTACTTTATGTCTATGTATTGCTTGTGTCTATGGATACGTCATTGCTCTGCCTGGAATGTTCCACAGTCTGACATTAAACAGCTCTACCGTACATTTATTCAATTACAGATGGGTTTATAGCTCAAAAATACCTAGAAAAATAGGCCTTTTTGACTGTGAGCGCAGTCGCCTCTCCACAGATGTGACCTGTAACTTGGTCTGGTTTGGTCTCTAAAGATAATAAGGTAATAAGGCCATACTGTGACAAAGCAATAACATCTACATGGCAAAAAGCATTTGACGGACACTCCGCCACAAAAGTTACACAATGCACCTTTAACACAGATAGGGCAGGTAAAAATTATGGTTAATTATGGTTAAACCGCAGATTTTTTTTTCCAGAATTGTTGTTGCAGTATAGCAGGTTATTGGGTACAATGTAATCAATAGGGAAAAATGACTATCATCATCATCATTATTGTTAAATCTGAAAACCACCAATACTTAATCTGCATATCTTTCTCCCTCCTCTAGATGGCGGCGTACTTCACTCACTGTAACCTGCAGCCCGTCCACATGGTGCTGGTTCTGAGGACGGCTCTGAATCTTTTCTTCAAACTCAGAAACTTTAAAACCGCTGCAGGATTCGCCCGGCGTCTCCTGGAGCTCGGGCCCAAACCAGATGTGGCTCAGCAGGTTTGTGCCACTGATCAATAACATGGGCTTTTCTGTAGTGACTTTGTATATAAAGTATCAGTGCAGGACTCAACCAGGGCTCAACCAGGGCCTAAATCAGGTCTAAACTACAATTAAGCCTTGTTTAAAGTTGTATTTATATATCACTCCAGTATCCTAGTTAGATGAATGATGTGTACAAGTGGACGTGAACAGCAGTCGCCATCTTTATTGTCCATATTAGCATAACCATTGTAAGAGTTAAAAACATGCGAGGAATTAATAGCAAGCCAAAGAAACGCATCCAACAGTGTTAACAGATAAGTTTTTCTCCTTCCAGCCAGGGCCTAAAGTATACAGGAGCACCGTAAAGTTATGCCATTCTCCCCCTCCATGTCTATCAACATATTTTTAAGCATTTCCCACTGTTACCAGAAGTGACACACTTCACACAAGAAACATTTCAAAATAAAACAATTGAGCTTTACAATCAACTTTTAATTTGGAATGAAAAGACAGATAGTATCCTTAATTAGACCCTTTTTCTCCAGAATTCCCAAACTAGGCATGTGTTTTGGCGATAAGGTTCAATGCGAAGCAATGAATAAAAATCTACTAAAATAAGGTGTTACAAATAAGATCAACTTTCTTTCATTTATTCTCTTGTACCATTTTCTCCACAGACTCGTAAGATCTTGGCTGCGTGTGAGAAGAACCTGACTGATGCTCACCAGTTGAACTACGATGCCCATAACCCCTTCGACCTTTGCGCCGCCTCATACGTGCCCCTGTACCGCGGGCGCCCAGTGGAGAAGTGCCCTCTGTCCGGAGCCTGCTACTGCCCCACATACAAGGGCCAGATCTGCAGGGTCACACAGGTCTGTACCAGTTCTGTCACGATGATACTAACATTTTATACTCCATTTCGTTACTAAGGAATAGACTTGAGATTCAATACTGATTCTGATACGACAATTATAATAAAAACCCTCTTTGTTTAGACAATAGAATGTGATCTAAGTAAGGTGTTTTCAGTGTTCAATTTTAATTATTTTGTTCTGCATTTTTCCAGGTGACTGAGATTGGAAAAGATGTGATCGGTCTGCGCGTCAGTCCACTCCAGTTCCGCTAAACAAAGTGCAACAAAAATACAACAACTGTTTAGTTTAACACTTAAATGTAACAGAATTATACCTAAAGATCTAAAACTCATGTCTGCTCCTAGTTGATATCTGTGGAAACATTTTAAACCCTTTTCTGTATGTAATCAACACTTGTGAGAAATAAACTCGCTGCTTGGGTCTTCTCTGTGCTGAAATGTAGCTCCTGTTTGCCTGTCACTTCAAAATATAATGTTTCAGATGGGGGGAAACAATAATAAAGCTGTCACTATCTTAAATGTCTTCTGTCATTTTCATCCCATGTTGGTTTTAATCATTTATGTAGAAAGAATCAAGTGCTTGGTATATAAACTTATGGTGTAACTTCAGTTGTCAAATTACTTTTCAAAACTTGCTTGGTTTATTTTTCTTAAAGTATTCACAGCCAAAAAGACGGCTTGTTACTCCATTAGTCTGGCTGACCCAGATCTGGCTCAGAGTTGTAAACTTTTTTCAAACTAAGAAGAAATCAAATGTACTTATGTCTTCTAATAGAGGTGGGCAGAGTAGCCAAAAATTGCACTCAAGTAGAAGTGCAAAGTAGTGATAGAGAAATTACTCAAGAGTACAAGTATTTGAGAAAAATACTACTTGAATAACAGTAACTAAGAATACTTCAGTAAAAAATATTATTGAAAATTAAAAATATTAGTAGGAGTAAAAGTATGCTAGAAATGTGCTCTGAAAAGTACAGTTTCTTTAAAAAGTAAATGTAACAGAACTCTTCATCTCTATAGCGACAATGATTTGACTGACTCTACTTATTGTTTGGGTGGATTATTTTATGATAAATATTAACCAACAGTGTCCAGCCAAATATACTACAGAGAAGAATTGTTTTATGTTGCATTTGGCCATTTGTTGAAATAAACTTAAAATTACAGCCAGTTATTTAAGAGTCCAGCTATAGGAGTACACTGTTTTCAACCACATAGCCACTAATCATTACTTTTACTAAATCGGGGTGACCAGATTTTCAAAATAAAAAAACTGGGACATCTCTGGTTTGGGTTGGTAATAAAAAAAAAAAAAAAATGTCAATTAAGGAAAAATTGTTCTGCACTCAGCACTAAAGTGAGTCACATTTTCATTGTGTTTTGGTCATTTTTAGCAGTTTTTCTGTATTTGACCTAAACAAATGACAATTTATGCCTCTCTTTTCTGTTGAAAGGGATCAGATTGGTCAAACATACGGGCACCTGTGACATTTCTTGTATAAAACTGGGACAAATCACTGGTTTTGTATAAATCTGCTGGGACAGAGGATACAGGGCTCAAAACTGGGACTGTCCCGGGTAAATAGGGACGTCTGGTCACCCTAACCTAAATACAGCGAGAGTTTTCATCTTACAAATAGTTTAAGATCGTTTACACAATTTCTATCAACTTTTTCTGAGAGTTAAATTGGGAGAAATTATGAAGAACGTAGAATGTAGAAACTTATGAGAAAAAAATGCGTAAAAAATAAAATTGCTAATAGTTAAATAATTGTGTTTATTTTTCCTGTTTACCTTCTGATTTCCACCCTCTGAAAGCGGAAGTGGTCAGCGGATCCCGGAAGTTTTCGGCGTTGACTTTTCCTGTTGTGTTTTTTTGGTTTTCAAACCAGGAAGATGGATTTACTGCCGATCAAATGGATCTTTAGTCTGTTTATTAGCTGTTTTATCACCGGTAAGCCTTTGCCGATCACGTTTAACACATCTCCTCTTTTATTTACACCTTTATCTGAAGTATTACTTAGTTTTGTTAATAGCCTGTGGAGTTCATTGTGCTCTGAATTAGCACGATGCTAACGGTTCAGCTAGCGCCCACACCTGCTATCTCATTGCATTAAATCTTCTAGAACTGCTTTTATTACTAGTTACACAATGATCCACATACTTTTAGCAACTCTTGATAAATATGTAAATGCAGAAAAGCTTAAATAATTAACGCGATCTTTTAATTTTAATAGTTTTAATGATATTACCGGGTGCAATGGGAGCTTGGAGTTCTCTGATCCGAACTCACTCAACTTCAGCGTGACCGCTCGTGATCTCCGCTCCCGGCTACGTCTTCAAGGATTAAATGCAAAAACAGCAGGAGATCACGTTAAATTAGAGCTTTCATCCATAAAAAAACATAGATAAACTGCTCGAAACTTGGAGCCAGTTCGGTTTTTAGCAGGTGTTAAATGAATTAGAGAGTTTTAAATGGCTGCTCTGTACTGCAATTTGTACACGCCCTGTTGTAAAGGATTAAACAAGATCAAAAAAGATAAATTATACAGATAGACCTATTATTAAAAGTGTTACTGTTTCAATACGATCTCATATCTATTAAAACTGGCCATTTACCCATTTTCAACTAATTTCCAAATAGCTAATATCCAAATATACCAAAATACAACTTAACTCAAAGTACTACCAACTATAAAGGTTTTACTGTTATGTTTTGCTAATTTTTAGCCTACAAATTTACAAATTATGACTCAATTTATCTTGATATTTGCATTTTTTTTGTCATTTGACTTGCTTATGATCAAAATAAACACTAGTTTGTGAAACGGTTCCTAGTTTTAAAGTACAGAAATCTGATATCTCTACCTTCGACGATTCCATTTTAAAGCACTATATGTTCATTGTTATTAGACTAATAGGTAAGACATATTTACCAGTTTAATGTTTCAAATATTAAAATACTGAAGTCTCTATGGCATATTAATACTGGTTGAAGTAGTTATTTGATATTTTTCACTGCTCCCATTTTCAATAATACACAATGGCTGTGTCATGGCTTCTGCTGTAGCTCCCTCCCAGATTGAATATCTGCTTTAGTTACACTTTCATTTTTTTACATGCTTCTTATAAGTAAATGTTTGATCTGAGTTAAAAGTATAAAAATATTAACACAAAATGGACATTATTTGATTACAATTTCTTGTTTTTTCCAGAGCAGAATGTAATAGTATACTAAAAAAAAAAAATCCTGTTGGAATTTTAAAAGCAAAATTTAAACCTACATCTTTCTTTTCTATTCCCATGCCATGTCTAGTCTATGTGCTCTTATACTTCTTCTGGACTTTATTTTAATATCGATACCTGCGAAAAATTAGTGTCTAGTTTTAGTATTGATTAGTATCAGATTTTTGAAACTTTTGACAACCTTTGTTTCTAACGTATTTATAATTATAACATTATAGTCTGATAGTGTAACATTCTTAGTCCTGCTTCTGATACTGTAATAAATCGGAATAAGTCTAAAATTCTTCTAACCATGCTTTCAAAATCAAAGATGTCTGTGTAAATAAAAAATGTAGTTAGTTTCCATTTCAGGCTAATGTGAAGTGTGTAATCTTTGGTCAATATTGGCTGTATTATTACCTGTTATAAACTGTCACTGATAACAGCTTTGTTTATGATAAGAGTATGTAAAGGACTTGACCACATTGTGACAGTAAAACCAAAAGTAAACACTGTAAAAAGGATGTGATTGGCTGAAACACGGATGTACTGAAAGGGCATTCAGGGTGACTACATGCGATGAGGAATATAGAGAGAGAAATTTATTATAGAGCTGCAAATAATAATGTCACAAGGGTTCACTGTCACTTTTCAATTATTGTGTGATATGTAACTTTTCTGGTGGAGGGCCCGTCAAACGCTTTTCTCCATGAAGATCTTAATGCTTTGTCCGGAATGTTTTACCATGTGGCCTTACCTAACCTTTGTATCTTCATGGAAACCAAACTAGGCCAAGTTACAGGTCAGATTTGTGGAGAGGCAACCGTCTCACAGTCAGAATGCCTATATTTCTACTTATTTCTCAGCTATAAAACTACCAGGAATTGAATACATGCAAGCCAAGGTAATCCGTTTATTGTCATATTGTGAAACATTTTAAGCAGAGCAATGACATTTTTATAGAAACAACCCCCAACTGAAAAGTTACATAGTGCACCTTTTACTGTATGATCTATGCTTATGGAAATTAAAACTGAAATTAAATTAGACTTTTCTAGAAAAAAATAAATACATTAAAAATTAAAAAAGAACAAATAAAATGTACACAAGAAATGAACAAAAATGTCATTTGGAATTTTTTGGTCTTTTTTTTTTTCAGGAATCACGTGTAACTCTGTAGAAAAGAAGATTTATGTGGATCTGAACTACACTGTGCCCTGTGTGCGGCTGCTCAACGCCACGCACCAGATCGGCTGTCAGTGTGAGTCTGCCGGAACTGTCTGTTTTTTAACAGAATTATGTTTAGGGGTGTCTGATATAGAATTCACTGAGCTGAGCTCACTGACGTCTGATTTTTGCCACTCTGCTTTGGCTAAAACACAGTCTTTGCCAATCCTGATATTAATATTTTCAAATTCAAAGTTATAGTAAAGATGTATATGACAATTGAAATCTAATCTTAAATGTGAACTACACTGTCAATGATGCAATGAAACATCAGATAGTTCACAAATTCACTTTTCACTTTTGTCAAAATAACTAAATGTATTTATTTAGGATATAAAATAATTAGTTCTGTATAATGACTGAGTAAACCATATCTTTAACCTAGTGAGACTTCTGTTTCCATGGCTACTAGTCTGTTCATAAATACAGATCTGATGCACTGAGGACTGAAACTGGAAACCAAAAAAATAAATAAAATGGTGCCCAAAATCTGCCTTATTTCTTATGGTTATGGTTTATGTATTAGTTTTTATTAGTTTATTATATTATTATGTTTATAAGTATTATTATGTTTATAAGTTTAATTCTCTCATGTCTGTTTATATTTAGAAATGAGAAGTGACTCAAACAAAGTATTTGAAGCCTGTAGTCTGTGTAATCCTGTGGCTCTAAAACTTCTACTGCTACTTCTCCATTTTTAGTTGAACTTCACACTTTTTAAATTTTAATCCTGCTGTAAATTGAATCTGCAATCAGTTTATCAGGGCTTGGATGTGTTTTAGACCAGGTTTAGTCCCGAATTGGTATCGGTGTAGTCCAAATGGACTTTATATTTAAGTACTTAGTGCAGCACGATAGAAAAAACACTGGTTTTGGCATTTGAACATTTGGGAATTATTTAGGCTGGATTAGATTGATATCAGATGATTGCAAACATACTTACTCTTCATGTCTCCCTCCCTCTCTCTCTTTCCTCTCTCTTTTTCCTCTCTCTCCTCCCTCTCTCCCTTCTCTTCTCTCTCTCCTTTCCTCCTCCCTCTCTCTCCTCTCTTTCACCTCTTTCACCTCTCCTCCGTCTCCCTCCTCTGTCTCTCCCCCTTCTCTCTCCTCTCTTTGACCTCTCTCCTCCCTCTCCCTCCTCTATCTCTCCCCCCTCTCTCCCTTTCAGCCTCTCTTAACGGAGATGTGGGCGTCCTCCATGTTCTTCAATCAGAGAACAACCTCGACTGGGTTCTTAACACTGGTCACAGCCCTCCATATATGGTCATCCTGGAGGCGGAGCTCTTCACCAGGTACTGTACCAGAGGTCGTTATTGGCTAAAAACATCAAATATACATTTTATATCTATTTTTATATTGGATAAATTTTTCTGTACACTGGAATGCAATAATTAAAGATTTTGAGGAAAAATCTAAAATATGAAAGCTATCACGGTGGCTGTGAGGCACTCATGCCTCACAGCAAGAAGGTTCCGGGTTCGATCCCTGGGTTGCCCGGGCCTTTCTGTGTGGAGTTTTCATGTTTCTCCCTGTGTCTGCATGGGTTTCCTCCGGGTGCTCCGGTTTCCCCCATCAACCCAAAACATTCTACATAGGTCTCCAAGAACAGATGATAGCTAAGGTCAGTTAAATACAATCAATCAATGAACCTGCCCAAGGACTACAGGTAGAAATTAGTACTGATGCTACAACCTGGTACAATGCATCTCTCCTGTCAAGGTTATTGTAAAAAATTGTGCACTGTCCCTCTCAAATAAAATAAAATAATAATAATCATGATCCAAATGACTTTGCCTGTGAGCAGATTTTTTTAGATGGCTGTGATTGACAGGTGGATTAGCCAATCAGGGACATACATGGTCTGTACGTATGAAAACAAGTAGGGCTGTTTACGAGGAAAAAGAAGGGAAATTTTTGTTTGAGTAATTTTTGTTTGAGTAACCCTTTATTACTAGTCTGTGCTACATCTCCAAAGCTCAAAATGCTCTGTTGTACCTTGTAATGTCATGAAGTCATAGTTTTCAAGTTAACAGCTACCTTTTCCATTTTGTTTTTTGTGGTGTATGAAGTTTAAAAAACAGTGGAGAACTTGTATTACCACATGACATCACAAGGTGGAACAGGCCATTTAAGCCACAAAGTATATAGGTATACTTTGTTACTGAATGGAAAGCAAAATATTCCTATCATTTTGTGCATAATCTGAGTCTTAGGCGTGGTGTAGTAATATTATATACTCCTATGATTTCCTCTGACCTATATTAACCATCGTATCTCTTTGTTTTCCAGGTCGATCATGATGAAACTGAAGAGTGGCTCTCGCAGAGTGGCTGGCGTTGCTGTTATAGAGCCAAACACAAACTTACCTGGTGGCTTCTCTCCTCACACCCAGTGCCCCAATGAAAACACAGGTGAGAGAGAGATACCGGTCTGAACCTGCCCCTGAATATCAATCAATCAATCAATATGTGGAGAAGTATAGAAGGGAATGTAAGGCTCTACTGAAGCAAAACTACAACATAATCACACCTAACAAGGCTTAAATTCCAGTAAAAACAGAAATTTTAAATGATCCCGACTCCAAAAAAGATACACTGCACAAGTTTTCTGGTGGAGGGTCCACTACCTGCTTGTCTCCATGGAGATGTTATTGTTTGTCCTGGAATGTTCCATGGTATGTCATTAATGCTTCCAGATGGACAGAATTGTATACGATAGATACCTGGGAATATGTTTTAAATAACTTATTCCCGCACATAACTTTGAACCATAAAAAATAGAAACTTACTTTTTTTTCCCTTGAAAAGCTGGGAGTCGTGGCTTTCCGAGCATATTTCCGGCATTATCCTATGCCACACGTACACTGCATGATGATGTAGGGAGAAGGAGTGTCCAATAGGAGCTTTGTTTTCCACCAAACACATATGCTCCATCCATTTTGATTGGCCCAAACTTCGCCAAAGAGTGTAGTGAGTCAAAATGGTCGACTGCTCTGAGTGTCTGTACTCGTAACAATTGAAAACGCCGCTCTAAGTGCAGATATTTCTCAAATAAATGGCAAATTATGCATCTTGGTCTGCATAATTGCACATTTCTTGCTATTTTTATTTATTTCAGTCAAAATGTACAAATCCAAATATAATAAACAGCATGGAATTGCAGAAAGTGATGTGGCTCTGTGCCCTGGACTTGACACCAGCTGTGTCCATGACTGACACCAGGAAAGTCATGGGGTTATTGCACTTTTTTTTTGTTTTGAGGGCAATAAGGATATGTTTAGTTTACGTACAGACTTGATATTTTGCACTTTTGTAGCTAAGGCCCTAAATTAAGCATTTTCTGTGTCCAAAAGGTTGTTTATACATGTTTGCTATGTGTTTTGTAAGAAAGAGTGTGAAAATTATTTTCTGTTAAATATCCCCATCTAGTATTTATTTATTACATAAATAATAAATAAATGCTATGTTGCTCAAAATGTTGCTCAAAAATAAATGAATTCCTTCTGTGAATAGGGTCTACTCTTCAAAGATATGAACTGTAATGTAGCGTTGTGCTGTAACCTGCTTGTCTCCCTCGTGATAGACAGGGTTACTCTTAGTGCTGTCATGCGATTAAAAAAATTGAGAGATTAATTAATTATGATCTGTAATTAATTAATCTAATTTTAATCTCACCTAAAAATTGCTGAGAAAAGCCTTCAATTTGAGGTATTTTCATTTAAATTCATTATTACATTATTGTGGCAGATCAAAAGACTGATATAGACTTAAAAAAAGTGACTTTATAAAGTCATTTATTGTTTAACAAATCTCTCCAAATTGGCTGTTGAGCCCAAGTCTCCATGAATAAGAAACTGTTTGCTGTAAAGTAGCAAAGACGAGGAAATCTGAACATAATAACTTTTGTCGACTTAAAGACAATAAAAAGTCCAGTCTTTCCTTAACCATATTAAAAATATTATTGATAGAGAAATGCTTTATATATGAGATCACTGGTTTTAGTCCTTGTTTTAGTCCTGGTTTAGACCTGCTTTAGTCCTACTTTAGTCCTAGTTTAGTCCTGGAATGGATTAATCCTGGTTTTAGTCCTGGTGTTAGTTCTGGTTTGGTCCTGGTTTAGTCCTGGTTTAGACCTGGTTTTAGTTCTGGTTTTAGTTCTGGTTTTAGTTCTGGTTTAGTCTGGTTTAGTCCTGGTTTTAGTTCTGGTTTTAGTTCTGGTTTTAGTTCTGGTTTTAGTTCTGGTTTTCTGGTTTTAGTTCTGGTTTTAGTTCCTGGTTTTTAGTTCTGGTTTTAGTTCCTGGTTTAGTCCTGGTTTAGTCCTGGTTTAGTCCTGGTTTTAGTCTTGGTGTTAGTTCTGGTTTAGAGGCGCACAGGAGGAAGCGCGGTTTACGCCGCGTACGCGAGAAAACACGATCCACACGCGGCTCACGGGAGCACGTCGGTGTCCGCGCAGTGTCTACGGAAGGAAACGTGGTCCGCGCGTTCTCAGGTTAATGACGATGATGAAGGTGTTTGTGTGTGTTTGTGTGTGTTTGTGTGTGTTTGTGTGCGTGTCCCCTCATGTGGCAGGTCACTATAGGACAGTAGTGCAGACATCATGAGCCTATGCAGGTTGTTTTCACCAGTGACATTTAAGTTGTAGGTGATATTATATTACTTATTTTCTTTTATATTTCACGTCGGGAGAATAATTTCCAAGACACGAATGTGTTTTTACCTGTGCACTGCTGCCTCTGTTCTACTGGCTCTACGACCTCGTCCATTGTGCCTGACGCCGCCAACTTTAACATGACGTTCACATCGCTCTTACTGCGCGCGTTTTGTGTGGGTTTCCGGCAATGAGAGGAATTACCCAAATAAAAAAATGTATAAATGTGGTTTTTGTGTGTGTGTGTGTGTGTGTGTGTGTGTGTTATTGTCCCAACAACACATAAAAACAGGTTTTATAATAAAGCAACTCGCATACAGAAACACTAAAGTTAGAGATTAAAAATGAGATTAACGCGATTAAAAAACATAACGCGCTAAATATGACTGTAATTAATTAATCGCAATTAACGCGATAATTTGACACCCCTAGTTACTCTATACTGTGAAACCTTCCAGACAAAGCAATAACATTTCAGGATGTGGCGAACCCTCCACTAGAAATGTTTCGCAGTGCACCTTTAAATCTAAGTATACTTCTGAAGAAAAACAATGACATTTCCATTATGTATTTCATTTTTTTCAACTCCAAAGTTAAATGTAATTTGCCTGAAAATATCGAACAATATAGTCTGCAATAAATTACATTATATTAAATTGCACAAACTTATGTAGTGTATCTTTCATATTTGTAAGAGGCAAACGTGTATCCATACCATATTTTATCTTTACTCACTTCACTATTTTGAAAATATATAAAGCCCTTTCACTTTAAACGTAGTAATAATAAATGTTCTCTTTTCCTCCAGGTGTGTACACAGAGAAGTATGACCCAGTGTACGCTCACTGTAACGGCACTCTGTGGAACCCTCTGGGAAACGGCCTTTCATACGAAGAGTTTGACTTCCCCATTTTCTCTTTAAAAGACGACAATGACACTCAGGTGATACGACAGGTAAGACACTGTTTATGCTGGTTTTCAAATGAGCCCTTTGCTAGTAGGTCTATTTTAAAGTGTAATAATCTATCTATCACTACTACTACTCTTACTGCCTTCTGCCAGTCTTCTTGGAACTGTAGTCAGATCCCTAACTGTTTTGTTGTGTTTTGCAGTGTTATTTGGACCATAATATCGGAGTAAACGGCAGTGCTCCTGAGTATCCCCTGTGTGCGATGCAGCTGTTTTCTCACATGTCTGCGGTCACAGACACCCCCACCTGCATCAGAAGGAACAAGATCCAGAACGACTTCAGCATCAGCCCCGGTATCAACAACACTCTCCCTCCTCTGCTCCATCTGCTCTCAACCTCTCCTCTTCTTCTCTGAGCTTCTGACCCTCTCCTATGTTCCTCTGCTTCCTCTAACCCCCTCCTCTGCTTCCTCTACTTCCTCTAACCCCCTCCTCTGCTCCTCTGCTTTATCTGACCCTCTCCTCTGCTCCTCTGACCCTCTCCTCTGCTTCCTCTACTTCCTCTAACCCCCTCCTCTGCTCCTCTGCTTTATCTGACCCTCTCCTCTACTCCTCTGACCCTCTCCTCTGCTCCTCTACTTCCTCTGACCCTCTCCTCTGCTCTTTTAACCCTCTCCTCTGCTTCCTCTGATCCTCTCCTCTGATCCTCTCCTCTGCTCCTCTGCTCCATCTGACCTTCTCCTCTGCCTCTCTTGCTGTTTTTCAGAGATGGTGTGCGATCCTTTGGGAGGGTTAAACATCTGGACTTCCACTCATCCGATCAACAACACAGAGAAAGGACACAAGAAGTTTCAGAGCGTGGTCATTGCCGCCGCCAGAGTAAGTCTTCACTGAGATACGAGAGGTCGTTTAGCATAGCTCAATGAGATTCAAATATAGTTTTTACACACCCCCATCTCTCTTTCTCCTTTCTCTGTCTCAGTTGGACAGTCGTTCTTTCTTCTTTGACCTGGCCCCTGGAGCTCAGAGCAGTGCGTCTGGTCTTGTGGCTCTGTTGGCTGCAGCTCAGGCTCTGAAGAACATCACAGAGGAGACCCAGCCCAACAAAACCATCGTCTACACTTTCTTTGAGGGGGTCAGTCCATTCTGCATGCCATATATCATTTATACACTTAATCATTTAATTATTTATAGAATTAAATTAACATTGGTGTACTTGTATATAAAGCAAACTTTAAAAAACGGAGTGCTTGGGTCTCTTGTTTTTTTTTTATTCTATTGAATATCTGCCCTTGTTGAGCACCTGTTCACATATTAACTTTTCACTTTTGTAAAAATAATAGGAAAATTGATTTATCTGGGATATAAAATCGTTTGTTGCGTGATTGTGTAAACATACAGCCATATCTTTAGCCTATTTACTCTTCTATTTCCACTTTTACTTACCTATTATCTTACCTAGTATCTTATTCCCAATTTCAAACTCTATTTTGGTACTCATGTGTTCCTTGTGTCAAAAGTGAGTTAGAAAATATTGGCCCAATGTTTAATACCAATTTCAATAATTTTCTTAGATGAAAAATAAATAGTTGTTTAATATTACCATGTGACTGCTTCTTGTTCTGATATAGAACATTCTAAAACTGTTCAGGAAAGGTCCATTTTTAAGTACTGATGCTTGTTTGAATGCATATATAGTGTTGATACCAGTTTAAGTGTTAGTATTTTAGTGTTTTGTTTTATTTTTGTGTGACAGCCCTGCTGCTAACCCCATTTCTTTTTTACTTCATCAGGAGACGTTTGACTACATCGGCAGCTCAAAGATGGTGTACGACATGGAGAACAAGCAGTTTGCTCTGGACCTGGACAATGTTCACTCTGTGGTGGAAGTGGGACAGGTCTGTAGCATTTATAGACCTATGGAAACTCTTTTATTTTTGTATTATTCTTTGGATATTTTGTTATATTATCACAATTTAATGTAGACTGCATCTTGTTGTTGTTATAGGTGGGAATCAGACCTTCTAATTCTCCAATATGGATCCATTCGGATCCTGTGTCTCTAAGGAACAGCAGCGTCAATGAAGAGGTTTGTGGCTATGATCCAGAACAGTGACAAATTAGGACCCTTGCTATAGTTTCAAATTTGAATGTTTCCTGTGTTGTGTGTCAGGTGCGAAAGCTGATTGAAATCCTCCAGAACGTGGCTAAAAACACAAACGTCACCGTGAGGGAACCGGACGTGTCTCAGCCTCTTCCTCCTTCGTCCTTCCAGCGTTTTCTCCGAGCACGACCTCTCCCCGGGATCGTCATCCAGGATCATGAGTCTGCCTATACTAACAAGTGAGAAAGGAGGCACAGTCGGGGGAATACTGAGGAATTAGATATTAGAAAGAGAGTGTTGCTTATTCTGGATTTCCACATGGTTATTAAACGTGCACTATGTAACTTTTCTCATGATTACCGTAAGCCACAGACTACAGGATAATTTGCCGATTTTGGAGCCCATTTGCCTCAACCATGATTTCAGAAAGGCGTGATCCTACTTTGGATCCTTGTATGTGATTTTGAATCCACTGCTCTCCTCGTGTGTGTGGTGTCTGAGCGACTCTGAGCTGCTCTATTATAGTAACTGCAAACTGTGCAAATGACACCACAATTGCCACGTTTGCATGAGAGTTTTAATTACGAATAAAAATTATTTTATTCTGAAGAAAAATTAATTCCCCTTCAAACAACCCATCAGACCATGTAAACACTTAATTCCTAATGAAAATTATTATTTGGAATTAAACTTAATTCCAAAGTAAGTGGGTGGTTTATTCCGATTTTAAAGCCGAATAAATTTATTCCTCAATTATGTAAACGTTTATTCTAAAAAATAATTTCGGTCATTCAATGCATTCTCGTTGGGTCGCCCTTCTGACGCGATCCTGACAATACGGTTTCATCAGTCCTGGATTTGGACTACGCTACTGCTCTTTGGATTTGCGAGCGGGATGCGGGAGTGGGCTGAGGTAGAGCAGCCGTTGATGCAGTTTTTCTTCCTTCTCCCTTCTCCGACACTCTTCCCTTCTCCTCCTCAGCTGACAGATGTAAAACACTGCTCCAGCTGCTTCTTAATTATCATTTGAACGACTGTGGATAAAGGTTTGATCATGTTTGTGTCTGTGGTGTAACGACAAACCGAGATGACAACAAAGCCGGTAGCAGCTAAATTGTGTGTTTTCTTCCGGTTGACATAAATACGCTCGTGTCCTTTTCCAAATCGATGATCCTTCTTGACCCCCAGATGTTGAGTGGAATTAAATAAAGGCGATTTAATGCGTTTTCAGTGTAAACTTCAATTTGGAATTATTATTTCCATGTAAACTCAAAGGAGAATATTTTAATTCCAAACTATTTAATTCAGAATAATTAATTCAGAATTAAAAAGCATCATGTGTGGCCAATGTGATGTTTCAGGGTCATAAAAATAAAAATTTGGGAGCTCCAAAGAACTGCAGTCCAGATCTGTTTTTTCTTTTGCATAATTTTTATCTTTGGACCCAGCACACAGTTACAACTCTTTTGGATTGGATGTGCATGTCTCTATTAATATCCTAACCATAAAACATTACCACAGCAACAGCCAATAAAACAGAACGTGAAATGTATCTGGCCATCCCCAATATTTATTTTCTAATATGGAGTCCCATCAGATGTATTTTTTCCTCACTGTAGGATTTCCATTTGAATTAAATCTTTGCTCAGTCCTTGTTTGTTATGAATTCTTCTAGGCTGAGCATTATATTATATAATTTATATATACTGTACATATATATATATATTGTATAGTTACATACTTATTGCATGTTTTCTTAATATGGAGTCTCATGAATTGTATTTTTCCTGCAGATATTATGAAAGCATGTTTGATAATCCAGAGAACCTGAACATGAACTATCCTCCCGACCTGAGCCCAGAGGAGCAGCTCAGCTTTGTCACTGAAACTGCAAAGGTAAGAGACTATTAGAACACTATTGATATTTTGCCGTGACATCGCACAGAGGTGTTCTACATGTATCTTTACAGTGGAATGTTCAGCAGTCAACATGGAGACACTATGCACACATTAGCAATCGCTGACTGAAAAGGTTTAAGATGGTCTGAAAGCTCTAGAAAAAAAATACAAAATGGATTTAAAGAGCACATTTTCAGGAGTCTGAGATCAGTCCAAGCGTTCATGGTCCTGTTTAGGAGTTTGATTTTCAACTAAAAGGTGAGAGGGACTAAACTGAAAAACTGTTGGTTAAACAAGTCTCTCACAAATAAAATTAACAGCACAAATCATCTTACCTTTTGTAGTTCCAGCGAAATTAGATCTTTATTTTCAGATTGTGTTAAAATAACGATCAGATTAGAGTCTAACAAAGCTTCAGACAGAGTAGTGCTCTCTGTTAGCATCACCTCCAGGGAATGTTGGTGATATCAGCTGCAAAGAATCAGTGAAGACCTAGACTTAGGAAATTACTTGGACATAGTAGCTCACACATCACAATATATTATAATCAGAAAGAGCAAAAAGATATAAATAAATAATCATAATAAATTCTAAATAAGTAGCAAATTAAAATAATCAAATAAGGCATAATGATATAGAATGATATAAAAAATAGAATTATAGTCATATAAATACAGTTTATCACAGTTATATTTAAGAGGTCATCAGGATAAAACAGCGCAAAGGTGATATAATGAATTACATAAATCCTTGTGTTGATACAAAACCGTAAAATCAGTTATTTGTAATGTAATAATACTGTTTTTCCTTAGGCTCTGACAGATGTGGCCACGCTGGTCGCTCAGACTCTGTTCCTTCAGGCTGGAGGTGATGCAGCTCAAGCTCCCTCCATCACAGCAGACTCCAAAATAGTAAGTTTTATTCCATCAAAGGCGCTGTATCTGATTTTTACTGTCTTAAGAACATGAAAAACAGAACGAGTTGAAACGGTTTGCAGTGGTCCAAAGTTCTTCCTCACTTACCTCATGCATTCAGAACATCCTAATTATTCACTACGATTTTATTAGAGATTTTCACAACTTTCAGAAGTCAGAATGGAGTACTGTGCTGCTAAGTAAATGTAACTTTACTACCCACCTCATACTATTGCTGCACTGGGGCAAGACAATTTTGGCTCAAATACATGGAAGCAAATCTCATACAGTGCCTTTTTAATTTTGGACTTGACTTTTTATTGCTCATAATAACAGAAATGTGTTGTATTCCTTTATAATTTGAATTAAACATAATCCCTGTTGTTTCTCAGGTGACCCAGCTGTTGTATGGGTTTTTGGTCAAGTCAAAAAATTCCTGGTTTGAGCAGATAATTCCCTCAGACTTTGTCAGCCGCCTCGGTGAGTGGAGATTTACTCATGTTCTTTATACTACAGTAATTTAAACCTCAGTTACCAGTAATATTGTGGTATGGATGAAATTACTATTACTACTATCTGGTATACTTTGCATTTGAGTATTCACTGTATTCACTGTTCCAAAGTATGGCTTAAACTTATCTGTCTTGCATTTATTCATTTACAGGCATATTTCTTGCTAAAAAATCATGCATTCCTTCTGTGAATCAGTCCACAGATCTGATCTGTAACTTGGCCTGGAGGCGCCTGTTTGTCTCCATGAAGATGGATAAACTTCATGGAGACAAACAGACAGGCAGCAGTAACCTGGCTCACACCAGACTGACATGTGTCACTGTGAACTGAGTTCTACACACGTCCAGTCTGGGACGGCGTTCACTGAACGAGATCAGAAAAAACAGATAGTCATGACAAGTATTTGAATCTAATTGGTTGAAGTGTCATAACACCAGAACTCACACTTATATCCAGTTGAGAGGAAAGCACGGATATCTTCCCTGTACATAAATGCACAAAGCACTTACCTTCTGAACGTTTAATTACTCTGTATTTTCACTAAAATAGGCTGCAGTACATCTGTCAGCGTCACCATGTTTGTTTTAGCTCATTTGGGCGCTTCGCCTTTGGCTCCGCCCAAACCTTAGTGCTGCTCTGTGATTGGTCCAACCGTTCTTCTGTTGCAGTGGACAGACCTACAAACTTCTACTCTGGCGTTCACATGCAGAGGAGCGAACCTTCGTTTTTGGTCGAATACATTTTGGCTAATTTAACTGGGAATGTTGTGAATGTGACTGAAGAAAACTGCAAGAGCCAGAGGGAGAGGGAGGACGATAAGGATAGCAAGCACGTGAGTGAAGATTAGATGGACTCAGAATACACTGTGTGCATAACAAGAATCTGTATTACTGTGAATAACAACACTTTCAATACTAGTTTTAATATCGATCAGTGTCTGATTGTCAGTACTTTGGAAAATCCTTCCCCTTAACTCAAATCTAACCTTTCTCCTCGCTTTTGTGTTTCAGTTTTACAGTTACATGTGGGTGCAGGGCGCTCTAGCTCCTAACAGCACAGACAGACAGAGTTACTGCGTCAGATCTTCAGTTCGTTCATCTTCTGCGATCTCTCCAGCTTTCGACCTGGACCTCCTCACCTCCTCAGAATACTCCACCTGGACCGAGTCGAGGTGGAAGAAGATCACAGGGCGCATTTTCCTTGTGGCCAGTCACGATTTAGAGGTGAGAAAATAGGGCTGGGAAATACAGGGATAAAAATCGGATTGTGATCTCATCTCTGAAGATCTGCTATTTTGGTAACATTGTGATTCCCAACTTTTAAAAACAGGCACTTTCTCCCTCCCACTGCTCCTATCGGTCAGACTCTGTCATGTTCTGTGTGAGCGGCAGGTGGATATAACCAATCACGGAGAAGAATAAACTATAGAATAAACTAGAATAAACTGTCTGTCAAGCTCAAAATGCTCTGTTCCACCTTGTGATGTCACATAATTGTAGTTTTCAAGTTAACAGCTCCTTTTACATTTTCTTCAGTAAAGACTGGCGAAACCAGGGCTGAAACTATCCAAAAGATAGTGAATCTAGTGAAGGTGTATGGATTACCACATGACATCACAAGGTGGAACAGAGAGTCTTCAGTTTGAGAGAAAGAACTCTGCCTAAATGTGCAGGGCTTGTGTGTTAAACATGTGAATGAAACAAAACACAACTCCAGGTCTGTTTTTGATGAAGAAACAACATTATGACGTAGATCAGAAAATAACCTAATATAGGCCCTTTTAAAGACATTTGTTATGATCAAATTTAAATTGTGATCTGGCTCTTAGAAAATTGTTATGATTGCCACATAAGGAAGCCGTGTTAGAACATTGTTTCCCAAGGACTGGGCTCTGGATCCTTTTATTGCTGCTTCAGTTACTGTTTTTCATTGTTTAAAACTTGAGTAATACTAATTGTTCAGAGAGACACGATCACTTCAGTCAACAATAAAATATCCTCATTAATGTTCAATAATGGTCAAATCTACCTTTATTTTGTGGTTTACGAATAATGTCTATTGACTTGGGTCGCGAAGGTTTGTGACTTTAAAAAAAAAAAGTTTGGGAAACACTGTGTTAGAACATTTCATGCTGAAGAATTTGTAATTACGGCATGTTTACATAAAGACTTCTCAGAAACAAGACAATTGACTCATAAAACGGGTGATCTGAAGGTGCTTTTTGGTCTTAATTCAAGTTTGGCAAAATACGCAGTTATTCCACTTTTCCTTTTGTAGGGCAGTACAGGATTATATGCATGAATCATAACATCATAACTGATACTTTACAACTGATGTTACCAACATTCAGGGTGTGATGCTAACTGTAGGCTCTGCTCTGTCTGAGGCTTTGTTAGACTTTAATCCGAGCTTTATTTTAACAGTTATTCTTAACATAATAATAGTTTGTTTGTTTTTAAAGCTTTGAATGGACTGGCCCCGCAGTACCTCTCGGACCTCATCCAAATTTCCACCACGTTGCGTGTTCTGAGGTCCGAGGGCCAGCTCCAACTCGTGGTGCCTAAAACGAGAGTTAAAACCAGGGGGTACAGGACCTTCTCTGTGGCCGGCCCCAAACTCTGGAATGCTCTGCCCCCCCACGTCCCAACAGCCCCCACAGTGGAGTGTTTTAAGTCTCGTCTTAAAATCCACTTTTATTCTCTGGCTTTTAACAGAGAATTGTGTGGTCCTCTGTGTCTTTTATTTTATTTATTCTATTTATTTTATCAATTTTACTTATTTACTGCTATTTTATGATTTTATGATTTTTGCATTTATTTGATGTTACTGGTTTTATTGTTTTACAGGGTATCTCTGGGTTTGACTACCCCAAATTTAAGACTTTTTAAGCCCTTTTTAAGACCACTTAAATGAAAGTTAAGACCAACGTTGCACCCATTAATCGGGCAAAAACACCAGGTCTATTTCTAATAATGACCAACCAACTACTGGAACAGAAGACACAAAAGTGGCCTAGCGTCTTCACTTTTTATTCCATGTTTAGACGAGCGTTTTCAGGAGGAAATCCGCGTGCGTACTGTGACGCAAAAGTGTGTGGAATTGGATTGGGTATGCATGTCCGGCAGCTCTGTGATGACTCTAGGTGGTGATGTATGTGACGTAAGCGCGTACACAGCGTGAGCAGATCTGACCAGAGTTTTGCGTCTTCAGCAGTGTCGACGGAACTGATTGTTTACTCACTGCCGCCGGCGCCAAAAACCAAAGTATTGTTTGCTCATACTCCAAATTAGACGTTCATTCACATTACATTATTTCTCGTTGTAGTTTTTTTTTTCCCCCTCTCCCTCCATTTAACATTGTACTGCAGCCTTGTTCACTAAAGAAAAAAATAGGCTAATGAAATGTAAGACCTTTGTGAAAAAGATAAGACTTGGACAACATAATTTAAGACTTTTTAAGGCCTTAATTTAGGAACATGAAATTTAAGACTTTTAAGACCTCGCAGCTTCCCTGTTTTAGGACTGGTAAGGCCAAATTTTAGCAGTTTACCTTTTTGTTGAGTTCATTTTATGATCTCTGTGCAACACTTTGGAAACTGCTTTGTTTATAAAATGTGCTGTAGAAATAAAGTGGATTTAGATTTGGATTTAACACAATCTGAGCAGAAAGAACTGATTTAGTTAGAGCTACAAAGGTGAGATGATGAAGTTTTATAGTTACCAAATTGGGAGGGTTTTTTTTTGTAAACTCTTAAATAAAATTATCTAAAATGACCTAAATAAAATTAAGGTGTCTAACCTGTCTTTAGGCCCTTTTCAATTTCTTTCACTATATTGTCTATATTGACTATATTCAGATTCATTTATTTTTCTCTCCTCAGATGCTGACTTTGGGAGTGGGCATCGGCATTCTTCTTCTGTCTCTTCTTCTAACCTACGCCATCAGCTCAAAGGCAGACATCCTGTTCTGTTCAGGGAGGGAACCCACTAACGCCACCTACTGACCAACTACCAGGACATTCACGCAACAAGGACCACTACTCCTACTACTATTGCAAATACTTCAAATACAAGGGCAGGGTATTTCTGTTGACACACAAATGGTAGGTACAGAGATTTAGAATTTGTTTCAATGGACTCACTGGTTTTGTGAGACAGGCCAATGAGACTTTTTAAACCTTTGGCCAATTTTGATTCAACCTGGACTTATAATTTGGGCCGAAATCAGAAGTCGAAAGACGGCCGGCCCTTTTGAGAGGATGAGATGTTAATATTTCATAATTTTCTTTGAGTTTTTTTCTGATTTTAAATGTTGAAAAATGTTTTGTTTCGTGTTTTCTGGACACTAAACTTTGCGCATTACTTATATGGGACTGTGTGTTTGTGTGAGTGCAGTTCAAAAGTATGGCTGAGTATTTCATTGCAGTGAATGTATGTTTTAGAGTAGATGATAACTGTATGAGTGGTTAAAGCTGCACTGTGGAACTTTTAGGACTTAGCATTAAACCTCAAAACTGTTAAAGGTGCTGCATCTGATTCTGAATGTCTTTAAAAAAAAAACTTATAAACAGAACTAGTTAATTTTAAAAGGATCGCACTGGTCTTCTTCACTTACCTTACACACTCAGAGCATCTTAATTACTTAACGCAATGAGTTTATAAGAGCTTTTGGCCACAACTAGCATGCTAACACATACTTCCTGATTCTGGGACATTAAAACACTTTATGATTAGATGCGGACGATACACAGTGGACTTATTTTGGCCTCAAGAGCTGCTTATCTGTACTGAGCCCCTTTTGAAATGCATATTATATTTTGTTTTCGAGGGAAGATTTGATCAATTAGATTCTGAATTTTAAATGCTGTTGAATTTCTCATTTTGAATTTTTAACTCTTGAATTATTTTTATTCTGAATGACAGTGTACATTTTCAAAGTGTTTTAAAGTTCAATTTCACACTCTGAATTTGAGGGCTTGGAAATATTTGTGTTGAAAAGGTGATTTTTAATTTTTTAAGAATTTGTAACATATTGAAAAAGTATACATAAAATTTCAGCAGCTGAAGTTCACAATAAAAATAATTCGAACATCTTTTTTCAGAGTTAAAAAATTCGAAGTGAGAAATTCAGCTGTATTTAAAATTCAAAATCTAATGGAACAAACTATCTTCTATAGTTTTTGTCAGCTTTGTAATATATGCCATATTACTAGATTACTTTATGTTGTCAAAATTTGTCCAAGTAAAAAATCGCGATGCCAAATGTTCACAACGCTGGAATTTTAAAAAAAACATTTGACATTTAATTTTAAAGGTGCTTTTTGTAACCTTTCTCGTGGGGGTTATCCACTGTGTTCCCAAAAAATTGACATAATTTTAAAAACAATTAACTTGAAAACTACTACGTCTAGCTCATTGATGATGTTGATGCTGGTCTATCAGATCCTTTAGCCCTGCATAAGCAACCTTCCTCTTTAAATTTTTGGTACCAAGTCCAAATTTGTTTGCCAATTGCGAAGTTTTTCCAAATTTTATATCGAAAATTTGTCTTGGGTGACTGCGTGTGAACAGATTCCAAGTCTCAAAATGACTTCTTTGTGAGTGAATGCCTCAACCTGAAAACAGAACAAAAAGAAAACATTAAATATAAAATCTTGATTTGTTTTTATACATTCTGTGAAAATGTGATGTTACTTCAAAAAGAATTGCCAAAATTATCGGCCTGTGAAACGATATCAAGTTTTTTGGGACACCCTGTATTTAATGCCATACTGTGGAACATTGTTGATGAAACACATCCACATGGAGACAAGAAAGTGCAGAACCCTCACTAGAAAAGTTACATACTACACCTTTATGTTTTAGGTCACTGTATTAATATAATGTATCTTGCTTGAGGTCAAAATGTCATTCCAGGCTGTGAATTATAAAGATTTTGCATATAGTTTTAATGTAGTTTCGCTGTCCTGAAAAGTTCCATAGCGTGGCTTTAAATGGAGATTGAGATGGTGTGTGCAATACTGTAGTAATCTTCTTTGTTATGTAGTTAACTTATCAATCAGTTTTAATAATGAACCACTTTATGAGTCGATGAACAGAAATATGTGTAAAAAAAACAACAACATGGGAGTACAGTACAGTGGTCTCTGGATACGGGGAGGGAGTTTTTGTTTATTTTTTGTTTTTCAAAAGTTCAAATTTTAGACCAAATGTAAATATCCCAAATATACTGTGCACGTGGTTTAAAGTGGAGTCAAAGTTCAAGTACACAGGAAGGATGTTTTTATATTTATTGTTTGATAGAGTGACCTACATTGGTATTGTTAGTAAAACTGCTGTCATGGTTTAGTTCTGGTTCAGCCCTGGTTTAGTTTAGGTTCAGTCCAGATTTAGTTCTGGGCTAGCCCTGGTTCAGTCCTGGCTTAGACCTGCTTTAGATCTGGTTTAGATTTGGCTTAATCCTGACTCAATCCTGACTCAGTCCTGGTTGAGTCCAGTTCTGGTTCAGTCCTGATTTAGTCCTGACTTGGTCCTGGTTTAGTCTTGGTTCGTTTTTCGGTTTAGTTCTGGTTTAGTTATGGTTTTATTTTGTGTTAGTCCTGTTTTAGTTCTGGGTTAATCCTGGTTTAGTCCTGGTTTAGTTCTGGGCTAGCTCTGGTTCAGTCCTGGTTCAGTCCTGGTTCAATCCTGTTTCAGTCCTGTTTCAGTCCTAGCTTAGACCTGGTTTAGCCCTGAGTGAGTCCACTCCTGGTTCAGACCTGACTTAGTCCTGATTTAGTCCTGACTTAGTCCTGACTTTGTCCTGGTTTAGTCCTGGTTTGTTCCCAGTTTAGTTCTGGTTTAGCTCCAGATTAGTCCTGGTTTGGTTCTGGGTTCAGTCCCAGTTCAGTCCCGGTTTAGTCCCGGTTTAGTCCCGGTTTAGTCCCGGTTCAGTCCCGGTTCAGTCCTGGCTTAGACCTGGTTTCCAGTCCCAGCTCAGGTCTGGTTCAGTCCTGACTTTGATGTTTAAGAAAATTTGAAACCGACAACATTTAACACAATTTGTGATAAATCTATGCATATTTACATTGTTTTCCATTTAATTTAAAATAATTAAACAAAATCTGAGCAGTTGATTTACTGACAATTTACCAAATCATGTGTACTTTCTTTAATCTACCTAAATTTCTATCATAATCTTATATTGAGCGCCCTTTGTTAAATGAATAAAAGATGCATTTGGTACTTTTCAGATTTGCACACAGTTTGGTCCTAAGTTTATCACATCTTTTTAATGATGTTTAAATTTGTGAATTATTGTTATTATTTTGATTTTGTTCCTTTTTTTTGGCTGGATTTAAAATGACCAACTGCAATGTCTTATGGGAAATAAAACTGTTGCTTCTTAATATTCTCTTATTTTTGTTTGATGATGCAAGAATGTTATGATAAAAATGCATTCTTTTTCAGCATGTATGAGGATGATAATATCTTTTTAAAGATCTTATATTACGCAAAATTGATTCTTGTGAACTTTGAGTCAGGTTAGAATGTTGTTACCTTTTCAAAAATAGACTGGAGTTGTGTTTAGTTTCATTCCCACATGTATGAGTAACTTTATTATTAATCTGTCTACACAGCAAAAAGTGGAGTGTTAAAATTGACTCTCACAGAACCAGTTTTAATATTTTCTCAGGTTTTATATGAGTCCAATCTGTTCTAGAGTTAATTTAACATTTTTGGAAATGTTAATTAAGTAACACTGGACCAAAGTTCCTGAATCAAGAGTTATATTAATGTTTTGATTTAGCTAAACAACACACAGAGATGTTTTTTGTGGGAGGTGCCAAATTAACACTAGGGAAAGCTGAATTAACTTGAATTGAATTAACAACCATATCAACTCCAACCAACCATTTAACTTTGAAATACCTAAAATAACACTTTTTGTATTAAAAACAACTCTCCAATATGTTACCCTGAAATTTTAACCCTCCACAGTTTTTTGCTGTGTACATCTCCAAATCTCAAAAAAATCTCCACCTTGTGATGTCATAATTAATTCAGTAGTGATTGGGAATTCCAGGGCTGAAATTATCCAAATGATTCTAGTGAAGGTGTATGGAGTTTAAAAACAGAATGGAGCACTTCTTGTATTACCACATGACATCACAAGGTGGAGCAGAGTGTTTTCTGTTTGAGAGAAGCACTCAGCCTTATGATGCAGGGTTAGTGTGTTAAATGTGTGAAAGAAAACACAACGCCAGGAATGTTTTTGATGAAGAAACTCTAAAACATAGACTAGAAAGCAGCATAATATGGACCCTTTAATTGTTTGTTTGTTGCACATGGCATTTTCCTGTATCTCATATTCTCAGATGTAAGCTGTGAAATGGTATGAAGCTGTAGTTCGCACGTCATGTTTATGATTTCACACTATTATCTAACTGCGTAATGAAAATCTTGCATTAGATGTGAGGAAATTCCTAAACTCAACACGTCCTACTTTGCACTAAACAGCAGCTGAATCCACAGCACAGAGTAGTTTTATATCTCGGGCTTAAATCTTAACTGTACGTGGGAGTGCGTCGGGTCCAGACTTGTTCTTTTACTGCGCCATAAACTTCCTTTGAGCCGCTAATCCTCGAGCGTCTCTGCGGCCTCTCCATAACCGTGCGCTTTCGGGTGTGCGCGCAGAGGACCGCTCTGGGACCGGACGAACCGCCTCTTTTTCAAAACTCTCCCAGAGAAAAGGCGAGTGTGGAGGCTTTGTACCTCCAGTTTTCATGAGTACACCACTTATGTAAGTTGCCATGGTATTCAATGTAATTTTGTGCTATCTCTTTTTTTTTTTTTTGCTACTTATTTAGAATTTATTATTACCATTTATGTATTTTTACTCTTTGTTATGAGCGAGCTACTGTGTCCAAATCATTTCCCTTGTGGATCAGTAAAGTTTGTCTACGTCTACTTTGGACACAGCAGCTCACATGCCACAATAAATAACAAATAAATAACAAAGAGCAAGGTCTAAACATCAGATGCCCTTCCATTCAACTTCACCTCTTGACCTAGATTTATCAGCCAGATTATGGATCGATAATGAAAACTTTAAAATAAAAATAGATAAATAAAACATTTAAAAAAAGATCTGATTATAGTTCAACCAGATACTAAATTATGATTATTTTAATGTTTTTAATCACACCTTGACTTCTTATACACTTTTCCCCAAATGTTTGTATTAAGGTCACGTGTCTCTAAATGTCATTGGATTGCCTTGAAAGTTCCAAAGTTAGGTATTAAACTTGCATCGCCATGGAGACAAGGAGTTACAGGTCAGATCTGTGGAGATGTGAGATTGATCTTTTCCTAAGATATGTTTGAGCAATTAAAACACCTGTAACTGAATGAATGGGGATTAATAAGTGTAATGCCTTACTTTGCAACATTCCACACAAAGCAATATCATCTCCTTGGAAACAAACTAGCAATAGACTCCCCCACTGGAAAAGTTACACAGTGCACCTTTAAGTTTCCTTGAGCAGATGAATTTTAATAGAAGTCGGATGAAAATTCCTCTTTAAAGGGGCCATATTCTGAGGTCTTCTCTCAAACTGAAGACATTCTCTTCCACCTTGTGATGTCATGTGGTAATACAGGAAGTACTCCACTGTGTTTTTAAACTCATTTCACCTTCACTAGAATCATTTGGATATTTCAGACCTGGAGCCAATCTCTACTGAAAAAACCTAAAAAGTAACTGTTTACTTGAAAACTACAACTTCATGACATCACAAGGTGGAACAGAGCATTTTGATCTTTGGAGATGTAGACAGACTAATTATACAGTGTTACTCAAACGTGTGAATGAAGCAAAACACAACTCCAGGTCTGGTTTTGAGGAGGAACAACATTCTAGCATGACTTAAAGTTCACAAGAGTCAACTTTGTGCAATTTGGGACCGTTAACTTTAAATATTTTTTCTATATATCGGCTGCCAATTTCTTTGGACATCCATAAATCTCCATGTAACAGATTGCTGCACCGTTGCTCACTCTGCTCTGTGCCCGGGGGGAGGCCTTCGGGGTGTGGCCAACCGAGCGTCGGAGGCGGGCACTTCGCTGCTACGCTTCAGTGGAAAGAAAGTGCAAAGTGAGGAGAAAATACCTGGATGGACAATCTCAAATAAGTAAGTCGATTAATCACGCATTTAATCTATAGTTTCAGGTGGTTTTGGTTGCGTTTCTGCCGTGCGTAAAGGTGCAAAGCGATCGCCGTGTTTGGTGCGCTCTAGTTTCCATGAACAATAGTGGAAAGAGGGTCGCCGTTTTGAAATCATCGGGAAGTTTAGCAGCTATTGTTGTTGCTATCGAGGCCACGTAGCTTTTAAGACCAGCTCAAACCCTTCTTAATCTTTATACGTTTATTTATGTAACTATAAGTGCAGTAAACAGTGTGTATATGTTGTGAATACGGGGGCTTTTTTGCGTTTTGAATGGTCTCCTTGGGATTTCGAGTACGTCCATTCATTTGCTCCACGGACGTCCCATTTGGAAACGCAAGGGCGAAGAAAAGGACGCGGATTGAGTTAATTTAGCTTTTTAGGATGACTCAAACGGGGCCAGAGAGTCTTCTATTGTCCCCTGTTAGTCATATTGTTTGGCCAATCCTGAAGATCTAGTTTTACGCGTTACGTGCCCCTTACTGTAAGTTGTGCTCGGGTACGTCTCTGTACACATTGTAAAGTCAAAATGCTGTCATGGCAGATGCTACGAGCTTGAATGATCTCATCTCATTAATTTTTGATGTTTGGTGAACCTGGCCTCTTATGTCTGTCAGAGTAAACGCCGTAGTACACACGTCGTAAACGAATTCGCGTAACGCACAGTTCAATCCGTGATGGGACCCTAACAATAACATTTAACCAACTCATATCTGCCATCTACATTTGGAAAAACTGCTGTGGTACAATACATTTCTAATTAATATGACTTGTTACCACCCCACTGAGAAATATTGTCTTTACTACAACTTTTAATTGGAAAAGTACCTTACTGTGGATGCAGAAAGATTTTGTTTTTCCTTAGTGAATGGTAGTTGTTTTGGTGGTTAAAATTGCTCTTACAAATATACAATACAGTTAGGGTGACACCATTGATTTGTCCCAGTTTTTATACAAGAAATGTCCCTATTTTTGACAGGTTTGATCCCTGCCAACAGGAAAGAGAGGCATAAATTGGCATTTGTTGAGGTAAACTACAGAAAATCTGCTTAAAAATGACCAAAACACAATGAAAACGTGGCTATACTCCCTCACGTGTTAATCATGAATGGGCTGAATGCAGAACAAATTTCCTTCATTATTACCAACCACTACAAACCGAGGGTGTGCCAGTTTTTGAATTTGAAAATCTGGTCACCCTAAATACGGTAGAACACGATTTTCAACATTAAATGATAGTCCTTTCTTCTATATTACCATTTGGTCTTATATCTGTATCCATAGTGGTCCATGTGTGTATACTAGTCTATGTGCTCTTAAACTTGTTCTGATACAGCTCAAGATCATTCTAAAGACATTCAGGAAAGCTTGAAATGAGTATCTAGTTTCAGTGCTAGTTTGAGCATCGATTAGTATCTGATTTTCTATATGTTTATGTTTACAAGACAAGGTTTCTTCAGCTGGGATATTCATTTGTCAAAAGTGTAAGAAGTGTTGTATGTCTATTTATCTATAGCAGGTTTAATCATTTTCCATTTTGGTAAGACTATACTTGAAATAAGACAGACTACTTCTACACTAGTACGATTATGCTTGGTCTTTTTGTTTTTTTTCTAATATATTTGAAGAGGGGCAATTCTAAGATCAGTAAATAAATACATATAATGGTTAGAGATATTACTACATGATAATAGCAAAATCTGTGAGTATAGCTTCTTCAGTTCCGGTCAAACGCTGGTGGACACTGTCTTATATTTGCTTGCAGGGAGGAGCTAACTACACTGAAACTACTCTGAAACTAAAACTCCAATTTCTTCACAGTTTTTATTTTGCTAGGTTTGTTGAACTACAGTATATGAGTGAACTGTCCCTGAGTTATATTTGCATTATGTTCATTCCCCTAATGGGTGATTACCTGACCAGCCAGTCCCTTCTTATCCACAGAACGTGAAAAACCTTTGTCCAAATTTTCGTTGATCCAAATACAGCCTCTAATTTGTATCACATGGCCCAAAAATGCCGAAAACATTGTCTCTCCAAAATTCTTGTAGCATACAGATCAAAATATACACTTTTTCTTACCTGAGATAAGTCATGGTTTTATGCTTCGATTGTTGATTCTGTAAAAATCCTCTCTGTTTCTCAGTCCTTTACATAGATTTTTCTCCTTTTTTACATGTAAGCTCCTAGGTCTGTTTATGACTTGAATAGAGCATGCCTCTCCCTGATTGGTTAATCCACCTGTTGGCTGGAAGTGCCACAATGTAGGGTTAATGCTTTTCTATGGCAAAATATCTTTGTAAATGACTGGTGTATTTTCCACCAGCTTCATAAATCTGCCCCATTACCAAATCTTCAACCAACAAGGTCCACAAATTATAAACATTCTACCATGAAGAATTTATCCACAACTATCAAGGTAAGAAAGAGGGAACACCTAAAGGTGAACAACGACTAGCATTAGTGAACTATTCCTCAACAAAACTAACGTTATGGTCATACATAAAACATAAGTAACTTGTTAACTCAGACAGATTCTACAATTAAAATAAAAAATCGATTTCATGATGTAGACATTAGCATAGACAGAGAGATTTGTGCAGTTTAAATGCTGGACATGTAATCTGTGAACATCTGTAGCATTCAAACTGCACAAATCTCTCTGTCTATGTTAATATCTACATCATGAAATTGATTTATAATTTTAACCGTAGAATCAGTCTGAGTTCACAATTTACTTATTAACAAAGTACTTATTAGTTGTGTTTTATTCATGACCATCACATTAGTTTTGCTCAGTAGTTCACTAATGCATCATCATTGTGTTCCTTTATGTTTTCGTTGTTCTTACCTTGATAGCTGTGGATAAATTCTTCATAGACAGAATATGTCCTTTGTCGACCTTGTTGGTTGAAGATTTAGTGATGGGACAGATTTATGAAGCTGGTGGAAAATATGCCAGACATCTCCACAGATATTTTGTCATTGAAAAGCATCAACATAAGTGATGTTTACCCTACATCGTGGTAATTTCAGCTGTTGTCAAAAAGGTCTGTGCACCTTTACGTTAACTCATGCAGAACAGACCTGGGCATTATACAGCTCCCGGGTCACATATGACCCTTTGGTTGACTCTGAAAGGCCTGTTTAAGATAATTTGGAATTACAAAATGAACATATTTTATCATTTTACTTCATGCATGGACTAAAGCTGCATTGCTTTTATTTTAGAGGTGTTTTTTAATGAAATTTTTTGGAAGGCAGCCTCTCTTTTTCATTACTTAGTCGTAACATAAATTCTTAGCAGTCTGACCAGCTTGTCAAAACACTGATATTTACTTTTTTTTACACAGAAATGCAATTAATATTATGCAGAATTGAGTTAAGCATTTTGGCCCAGCCCTCCACAACATTTTCTGATGCTCTTTTTTACAGTATAGCGATGTCTGTATTAACTAATGACTCCATTATTCCTATTTGGGACATGGAAGTAGGACATCAAACTGATCCGTGAGCTCTATTACTTGAAACTGACAGCTCCATTTCAGAAACAGCAGTTAATGATTTTTAAATGATTACGATGACAGCCCATAAATATTGATAGCGTTTTGGCTCAGGCTTGTTGTAATAATATATTCTGTGCATGCTCCGACTAGCAAACTCTCTATCAACGGTGTCTAAAATGGCCGTACCGCTGCGTATTAAAGATGGGATGAGACACAGTTTCCACGAGACGAGACACGTGATTGGGTCCATGAGAACTAATATGTAAATTAAGTTTTCAATTTTGGCCTCACGTTTTTTATTTGTTTGATTTCATAGTTTTGTTTTCATTCCAGCACTGGTTTTTGGAACTGTCAGAGATGTAACTCACCAACACGTGACACCATTTTTGTCCAATCCAAATGCAATCGCTTGAAAAAAAAAATCTCACAAGGTCATTTTTCTCTTGTGGCAATTTTGAGGCACAAGATGTTGTCCCATCCCTACTTCATATGCTTCAGGAGTTGGTGGCACAGTGGTTTGGACTCACCTCACTCCCAGAAGGTTTCAGGTTCAACTCCTTGGCTGCCTGGAGCTTTCTGTGTTTCCTTTTGGAAATGTAACGATATCCAAATTTCTCAGTACGATACTTTAACATCTCACGATACAATATTTACTGCAGTATTTTATGGAGGCTAACAAAAAAAAAGCCACTTTTTCTTCTTAAAATTCCAATACAAATTCTTGTTTCTATGGAGATGTCATTGCTCTGCCTGGGATGTTCCACAGTATGACATTAAACAGCTCTACCTCATATTTATCTACATGTGGTTTTATAGCTCAAAAATACCTAGAAAAACAGGCATTCTGACTGATCCACAGATCTGACCTGTAACTTGGTCTGGTTTGGTCTTCGTGAAGGATAGAAAGGTTTAATGCCATACTGTGAAACATTCCAGACAAAGTAATAACAAAAACATTTCCATGGAGAAAAACATTTGATAGACCCGACCCTCCACCAGAAGAGTTACTCAATACACCTTTAAGTCGTTTAATCCGTCTCTGGCGTCTCAGTCAACCAAAAATGTGTATTAGTCGACTCATTATTTTATTTAGATTATAAGGATTTGTATGAGAAAGGAAAGTGAAAGTGCAGATTTGACAGTGAATCATGAGTTTAATCTACATTTTTTCTTTTTTTTTTACAAAGAGTACAAACTTTCCTTGTACTCTCTGTTTACATAGCTTCTTTTGAATGAACTCCTGAGCGTTTGTAGTATAGAGTGCAGTTTGGGTCACATACACGGTGAGGTCTAGGTATGGCCCAATACCGATACTATAAGACTGTTTACCGTATTTTTCAGACTATAAGTTACTCTGGACTATAAATTGCACCAGCCAAAAAATGCATAATTAAGAAGAAAAAAACATATATAAGTCACACTTTATGGGGGAAATTTATTTTATAAAATCAGAGACCAGGA